AAGGCTCTCAGCAGTGCCCACTGGATGACAAGAAAGACAGGAGGTAACTGATTCCAAAGGGCCTACTAGGCTCTTGGGAAAGCTTGAATGGGACTCCAAGTGTGCTGGGAACCACAGAAGTTTGAGGTTGTTGCATGAATCTCCTTCAAGACCCTCAGATGGTGTGAGACGGTATCCCACGATGGGCCTATTTAATGTCAGCTTCCCTAACAGAATAAGAGTTCTGGCCATTGTGGGCAGCCTTATAAATCCAGAGCCTGTCAGGTACCAGGAGTAGAGTAAACCAGAGGTAGGTGTGCAGTGTGTGAGCAGAGGGGTGAGGGAAAGCAGGCTAGGTGACGGGAGGGTCCCCGTCCTTAGATGGCCCTCCCTAGCTGTGGGGGGTTGAGCTTGAACAAAAAAGACGTGTTTAAGACCTGACCCCCCACCTCCTGAGAGTGTGGCCTTATGTGGAAACCGGGTCTTTGCAGAGGCAATCAAGGTAGAATGAGGTTGTGCTGAACCCGTGAGTCTGACCAGTGAGTGGTGCCTTTTCATGAGAAAAGAGAGGGAGACTAGATACGGAGATGTGGACAGGAGGAGACACACAGAGTGGGAAGACAGGCGGAGACCAGAAGGAGGTGCCACCCAGAGCTGGAAGAGGCGGGAAGCACCCTCCCCAGGCAGCGGTGAAGGGAGGGCAGCCCTGCCCGCGTGGGTTTCAGAACTTAGACTTCCACACACCAGGCCAGAGAAGAGGAATTCCTATTGTTTACACCAGTTTGTGGTCATTTGTCACAGTAGCTCCAGGGACTCACAGGCTGTTCTGTGCTCTCCTGGGAAGTAAGAGCTACTCCCTCAGCTCTCTCTTCCTCTGCGATGCCCTCAGGCTGCTTCCCACATCCACCACTCACACATTGATTTATGAAATGGTTTTTTTAAAATATTACTTAACATTTGAAAGTCCCCTTCAGAGGACCCCCTTTCCAAGCTCAGTAACGTGGGCTCTGCACAGCAGCTTTTCTAACAGCCTGGAAGTGGGCGCGTAGCCACGGGGGTGTGAAGGAATCGGGGTGGCACCTAAACCCCTTCGCCCACCCCCTCCCATGAGCTGCACTTCTCCAACCTCAGCCCCAACCTGTTAGGACAGGGGGCAATGGTTCTTTTATGCCATTTTGCCCCCCAAAGGAAGGCAACCGAAGAGCTGATCTTTCTGCGTCTGCTCAGGGAGGGACCCCACTCCACCCTTCGCCCTCCACCCTGCCTGAGCCAAGCCTCCTGCTTTCAGGTCTTGGGAGGAAATCCAACAGAGGACCTGGACAGGGCGTGGCTTTCCAAGCCTTCTGGGTGCCTCTGTAGCAGGGGGATGACTACATTGACCTGCCAGCATCGCTGTGAACGGCAAGTAAGAGGAGGGCCTGTACAAACAGGCCAGTCCGTGGCAACCATGCTGTTGCCATGGTCCATGGGGAGAGGGACATGGGAGTGCTTGCTGTGTGGGCCTCCTTTCAGGGGATAGGAAGGTTCTGGGTTAGACCGAGACGGTGGTTGCAGAGTGTGGGGAATGTACTAAATGCTACTGAAGTATACTCCTGCAGATGGTCAAAGTGGTAAATTTTATGTTAGATGTGATTTGCTGCATTCTTTAATTGTCCAAGAAGCAGCTGCCCGAGGAGTGACCACAGCCGAGTCCTCCCACCCTTTTGAACCTCTGTTTCCTCGTCTGTACCAGGGGGCATCAATAGACCCACGTGGTGGGTGGCTGTGCAGATCCGTTGTTCCATACAGCATCGCATTCGACACGCCACCTGCCTTGGGACTGCTGGAGGGGTCATGGCCATGACGCAGAAACAGCCTCTGACCAAGGCGACTCCCACGGTACATGCTCCGTCACCATGGTGATGATGCCCTGGTGATAAGCTTAGCCAAGCACCGGTACCCAGTAGGAGCTCAGCAAGTGTCCGCAACCCTGAATCCCTAGGCAGATTCCATATGTCCAAGTGGCCTGTCCCTGTTGCTATGACTCACGACCACACAGTGGACCACAGCAGATCACATTTCCAGCTCTGGGAGTCTGGTCTGAGCAATTGGGCACTCTAGATTTAATTCTGCAGGTAATTTGAACGATGCTATCTAATTTCAAATGTCCCTGCTCTTATGAGTGCAAGAGCAGCATAATTTTTAATTAGTGAGTAAACAGTAAATAATGAATGGCAGTAAGTGGACACCACTGTTAATTAAAAATCCATGGTTGATAAAAATCAATTTGGTCCCTGTGTTTAACTCCGTCTATCAGGTCCTTGCAAGAAGTTGCGCAGCCCAGCCCCAGCTCATCTGCCTCCAGTTGTTTATCTAGTTAGGACTTTTCTGTGGGAGAGAGAAAGGGAGGGGGGAGAGAAAGAAAAGAAAATCAAAGTCCACCCCAAAAGCTGCAACTGAGCTAATGTCACGGAGTCATTGCTAATTGGTTAAGCTTATCTCTGCAACCTTGAAGTCGAGGCTTCGCCCGCGGCCAAGAGGCGGCTTTGTGCTTGGCCCGGGTGTTTTCACAAAGAAGGTCCACGGTCGTGTCCTGTGCTGTGTGTGCGTGTTCTGAAGACAGCGAGGCTTGACCGTATCTCACAATCTGCTAACATAATTAAATCCTAATTTCTCCCAGAAAAACAAGAGGAACCAAAACGCGGCTAGTGGGAACACAGTATCTGAGGATTCGTGACAAAACGGCATTGGTACCTTCAGGAGGGGTGCGGGGTCGGGGGAGGCTTGTTTTCTTTGGAACAGAAAGCATTTTCTCAAGACACCGATTTTCATGAAACAATGAAAATATAATTTGCAGGGCCACCCGCTCTTTCGCTCCGAGATGCAAGCTCGGTTTTCCTACCAGGCGAGTCGGGCTGACCCCTCCTGATCCTTTTCTTCGCCTTGCTTCCATCTGTTCTTCAAATCAACACTTGCAGACAGGTTTCATTGACACCGGTGATGTTCAAATTAACCTGCAGAATTGAATCCGGGGGACCTGGCGTCTTCCAATGAAGACGCACCCAAACCTTCGAGGTGCCGACCTTGAGGCAGCCTGTCCCAGTGCAGGCTGGGGGGTGGGGGTGACACTAGGACAGGGCCAATGTGGATGCCTCACTGGCCCCCACATCCTGGCTCAGGCTCCCCTCGGCACATCAGCCTTGTGCCAGGGCCACGCAAAGCAGCCAGCTTCTCTCTTCCAAGGCCTTTGCTCTGCTGCCTTGAGCAGCCCCGGGTACTCTCACGACAACATGTCCGTGGGAGGACACCTTGGCCTGGGTTGGCTCTTTTCTTCCATTTCTCCAGCTTGGCTGATTGAAACCGAGGGGCCGGTTGACCAGGAGAACATTGTGTGTGGGTCCTGGCTTTGTCACACGTGAGTGTCACAATCCCCATCTTGCTGGGCCCATCTGGATGAGCCCGTTGGCCTGCTCGAGGAGAAGGACCACACTCTGGCTCTTCTGGGGACCGTGAAGCTCAGATCGGATGATGTGCGCACGTGCGTGAAGTCCACTCTTGTTGTCATCGTCCCTGTCATCAGCAGCCTGACTTCTGCTTTCTCAGCTGGGCACTGGGGACCCCATGGACCCTGACTGGGACTCCCAACCTCCCGGGGGCAGAGGAATTTGGTCCACTTCATTTTTCTGAGAGGTCACCAGGGCACGGCAAGCCTGGGGCCCCTGTTTCCAATCACATAGCTCCAAGAGGGCAGTGTGGGGCCTCGTGGCCCCCCAAACCCAGATGGGAAAGTACAAACACTCACAGGGAAGAGGGCAGAATGTGCTGACCAGGCACCTCTCAGCTCATGACCCTTCCCAGGGCCCTGCCTGGCAAAGTCTCACCCCTGGGCTGAAGCCCTGGAGACTCAGCTGCTCCTGACCCACTTTAGCCACTGCTCAGAGGAGGACAAGACAGGACAGCAGCTGCAGCAGCCGGTTGGCCAGGGTCGGGCCCCATGAGCACAGCCCCATGCTGCAATGCTCGGATGTTGCTCCTGCCAAGCTTCCCACAGCATCCTGCCATCTGGGTTGCCTCAGCCTCTGAGTGAGGATGACAGTTTCTGAGGGACTTGCTGCTCTTTAGCAGCTGAAGGTCCTGGGTGCACCTCATAACAACTCCTGGAAATCATAGTAGCCATCCCACGCCCTGGCTCAATTGTTGCAGGGTCAGGGCAGAGCACATGGGGGATTCCCCAAGAGGACCTGGAGCCCAGTTCAGTGACTCTGCTGCTCACAACCACCCTCTGACCACCTCCTTCTAAGACATTTTAATTCCTGCCTAGGCTTAGGGATGAGGCTGCAAGGTGGCCTTCTACATGGGCACTGGGCCTCTGCTGGTGGGCCATGCCCACACTCATTCACCACCCACCCAGCAAGCTGGCACTGGTGTAGGTCCCACAGATAGAGATGGACAAACCAAAGACCTGGCACTGGAACAGGACAGGGAATAAGTGGCCTGGTGTGGGCAGCAAGGCTGGAGAGGTGGAGCAGAACCTGGGTTCCTCAGTGAGGTCTGCTCTGGGGGAGGACTGAGGTCCCACTGCCCTTGCTCCTCAGATCTCAGTCCTCCTTGTCCAGTACTGCCCAGGAGGGGGCCTGCAGAAGGGCAGGGCTTCTAGGAGTCTGGATCCCAGAGCCGAATTTTCAGAGGCTTTCCAGCCCAAGAATCTGGGCCAGCCTCCCTCAAGGAGGCCTGCATTCCAGGGTGGTCACAACTGGGAATCCAAGGGATGAGTCAGAAAACTGATTCTAGGAATTCCAACATGCAGAGTACCTCCAGAACTGGGGCAGTCTAAGGGGTGCTGGACAACCTGGTGGACAAGGTGGAGGTATGGGCAGGGAAAAGGGAATGGTCACCCTGGGGAATGAGGTAGAGGTGCAGGCAGGCTATGGGGCTTCCTCTGGCCTCCCAAGCTACAGCCCTGGGTGGAGGTGGAGAGTAGGGAAGGCAGATGGTGTATCTGGGGTGTACACATCTCTGATCCAGATCTGTCTGGTTTGCAGCTGGCACCAGAGAAGTGACCGGGGAAGTAAGAGGTGGCCACCTACGCTGGGAGCCCCCTTGCCAGCCACCCACGCCTGAAGGCATGCGCATCACTGCAGTTCTGCCCCCCCGCCTTGATGGCCCCTGGATCTCCACTGGGTGAGACCCCCAAGTCCTCACAGACCCCTAGGCTGAGGGACTTCTTCTCCGAGCCTCAGTGTCCATATGTGTGCACACAGTGTACCCAGTTCCCAAGAGGTCTGGTAGGTGCTAAGCACATGGCTTTACCTCCCCTCTGCAGATGGCACCTGGGGGCAGGGACTGTTGGGACATCACACCCCTGCCGATGACAGCAGGACGGGAGATGCATTAATTCAACACATGGAGCCCCATTATCCAGATACTTAGAGAGTTCCTGTTGTGAGCTGGGCACAAGGGCTCAGCAGTGGGGCATGTGCTGAGTATCCAAACAGAAACAATTGATAGCAACTTGAGATGGTGCCGAGATCTGCAGCGAAGGAAATAAAACCAAGGATGTAAAGCAAATGACCTGGAAGCCTTCTATAGGGGGTGATATTCTGCTGAGAGCTGAAAGAAAAGGAGTCTGCCCTCCAGAGAGCCAGAGAGAAGCCCAGCAGAGGGCACAGCTGGGGCAAAGGCCCTGAGGCCGGAAGTGGCAGGCCAAAGAGCCTGGTGTTCCCATGCTGGTCTCCTCACCGACAGGCTCCACTGACGTTTCAGAGGCTGGTGGCCACTCTGAAGCCCTGGACTCTGTACTGGGCCCTCATCTGTGGCCCACAAACCTGCTGCAGCCAGCTGAGCTCCCCGATCCCAGGGCTGGGGTAGAAAGTAGGACAGCTGTGGCCTCCTCCTCCTACATCCCTCCTGATGTGCCCCTGGTCAGTCCCATTCTGGGGTCAAGGACTGGACTCTCTGTGTCCTCCATATGCCTCCTGAGCTCATGGAGAAACCCCACTGCCAAACATCTGGTAGTGCTTTGCGGGGAAGGAGCCTTGGGAGTTCCACAAAGCCACTCAAACTCTTCCCAGGCTTTTCCGGGGCTGGCTCCTCCGCCCTCCCTAGTCCAGGTGGGGTCCAGGCAACACTGTCAAGGCCACTCTAAAGCCGAACCAAGGAATGGGGAGGGGACATAGGAGAACCCAAGGGATGAGTCAGAAAACAGATTCTAGAATTTCTTCCAGAACTTTCTTCCTAGAAAGTTCCCTGATCTGTTCTCAAGGCAAGCCCTGTTGCTTTCTGGGAGGAATGTGGAAAAGATTCTGGAGTCTGGGACCACCAAGACATCCAGTGTGACCTGCTGCATCCCTTGAGCAAATCTCTCCACTCCCCAGGCCTCGTCAGTGGCCCTTGAGGTGTGGGCGCCCCTCCCCATCTTTAACTACCACCTGTTTTGGTACTCATTTGCTATTTTTCTTTAAACCAACTCCCTTTATTTACTTAAACATAATCATTCATTTTTACAGCTTTATTGAGGTATAATTGGCATACAGTAAACTGTACACATTTACAGTCTAATATAATTATTTTTAAAGGAAGCACAATATCACCCCTATATGAAGAACAGAGCCACTTGCCATAAATAAGAAGTAACTGTAAAAAGAAACTCAATGAAACAAAACAACATAATTAGATTTGCTCTAGATTCATGGCCTACCTAAGGCTCCAAGTCTGTTCCTCACTGGGAAAAAAAAAAAAAAATGAGGTTGGTGTTAAAGTCACGCCAGCTCCTTTATCCTTGATAGTAGCAGAAAGATTGAAAGAAAAGAAAGGGAAACCGTTTTCTTGCTGGGTGACAACATATTTCTTCTGCTCCAACAGCCCCGTTATAAAATACCAAGAAAACAGGGGCACGGGTTGGATTCCAGTTGAGCGGTTTACATCCACCCATTGCCCCACCTGAGCCCCAGTGGGGAAGTCCCAGAGGCCTACCCTGCCCAGCCGGGGGCATGGCGGTGGGTCTGGGAGCCAGGTGGCTTTCCTTTCCTACCCTTCCACTCTGAACTTGTTTGCATCACCAGTAGAATTGAGCCTGGGGGCCAAGGCCTACCCACCACCTGCTTCTGTAAAGAAAGTTTTATTGGCACACAACCAGGCCAATGCACTTCCATGATATCTACATCTGCTTTAGCTCTACAACTGCAGTCTTAAGTGGCTGCCACAGAACCATCTGGCCCACCAAATTGAAGCTATGTATTGTCTGATCACTTGTTCCTGAACCTCTCATTCACTGGCCAGGACACAGGGTGGGGGTGCCGGAGCTCACTGGGAAGAAACAGGACACAGCCTGCCAGACCTCACAGAGCAGCAGGTCCCGAGGTGGTTGCAAAAGCCCCCTGTTGTTAGGCCTGAGGTTAGGATGAAAGAGGAACTAGAAAGATCCTGTGGAGGCCACCTGACAGTGGGTGGAAGGTCCTAACTCACCCCAGCAGTAAGGCTGACCCAAACAAGCCAGGGAAACTGAGGTTGTGGGGGCCAGGCCAGAAGTGGAGGTTGGGGAGGCCAAGCCCAGCCCAGAGGACAGAGGGCCCCAGGACGCGTTCTCACCTCTCCACCCAGCACCCATCTCCTCCCCACGGCAGCTGTGAGGTGCGACCAGGCCCAGAGTTCCTCACCCGCTCCTACACCTTCTATCCCAACCGCCTCTTCCGGGCCTACCAGTTCTACTATGGAGATGCCTCCTGCCAGCAGCCAACCCACTCTCTGCTCATCAAGGGCAAAGTCCGCCTGCGCAGGGCCTCCTGGGTCACTCGGGGTGCCACTGAGGCCGACTACCACCTGCACAAGGTGGGCATCGCCTTCCACAGCCACCGTGCCCTGCTCGATGTCATCAGGCACCTCAATCAGACCCAAGCCATCCAGGATTGCATGGGGAGGCTGCCCCCAGCCCAGGCCTGGCTGCCAGGGGCACTGTATGAGCTGCTGAGCACCCGGACCCAGGGGGACTGCATGGTAGCACTGGGCTTTAACATGCATGAGCTCAGCCTGGTCCGTGTGCAACGCAGCCTGCAACCACAGCCCCGGGCTGCACCCCAGCTTGTGGAGGAACTGTACCTGGGGGACGTCCACACCACCTGGGCGGAGAGGCATTACTACAGGCCCACCGGCTACCAGCGCCCACTGCAGAGTGCCCTGGTGAGTTTGGGGCCCTGGGCGGGGAACTTTGGGCCCACCCAGAAGGCCCTACATGACCTGGTCTCTACCAAAGGTCCTTTCTGCCCTGTCTCATCAGTGCCCATTATTGACCCTGGCTTCAGGAATTTGGATATGCCATGGCCCCTGCTTGAGACTTCTCTTTCCAGGCCTTCACAAGGCCATTGGCTATTTCCAGAAGGACACATGTTCAGTCTTCCCTGTCTGGTCTTCCACAGTCCCTGCACTCCAGACTTGGTCCTCATGGGCCCTGCTGATCTCATTTCTATTCTTACGGGGCGGGTTTTCTCAGCTCAAATGTCCCTTCCAATCCCCACTTCACATATTTTCTAGCACAGAGCCCAACCCGGAGCTCTGCTGGCCCTTCTCCCCTTCTCCTTTGCCTCTTCACTGTGGCACAAAACGCTTCACAAGGGTGGGGCCAAAGCACAGAGTCTGGCCAACAGATGCTCAGGAATAAACCGAAGGGGCATCTTTTCCCCTTTCCTCCTGGGGCTGCTGCGTACCCTCTGGATGCCACCCTCAGGATCTCATTGTAGACCTCTCCCTGGACCTGGAAGCAGAGCCACAGACACACCCCCTCACGCTAACTTTAGGTGGAGTTGCAACAATATTGCCCCCCGGATCTGGGCATCTGAGAGAGTGAAGGTTGGGCAGGGTCTGGGGTCCTATGTTTCTAACATGCATCCTCATGGTCTGCATTCTGGGTGGGGAGGCCCAGTCTAAAATGAACTGATTTCTGTGAGATGCAGCCCCAACTCCAGAGTGAACTTCCCTGAAGCCCATCAACATAGATTATAAAGGAAGCCATTTCAAAGGTGCCGCCCTAATTTGGAGAAGTCTTAGTAGCCTTTTTTTTGGCCTGATAATCAAACAGAAAGAAAGTTAATCTTAATTGCATTATGTATTCCTGGCACATAGCCAATACAAGGGTGGTCCTTGTGACCTTTTCTGTCTCCAAGATCCACCTCTCTGGTGCAGGTGAATCCTAAGCTTCTCTCCCCGCAAAAAACTGTCTTTAAAAACACAAGATGAAGTGCACCTGATTTAAATGGAAACCCACCCCATTAAAATAGTTCCTCAATCTTAAAACCCGAATGTGTGGCACGGGAGCACGAAGAACAGGAATTCTTTCTTCACCCTCATGCCTGAGCAGTGATGGATGTCAATGATACTTTCTGTATCTGTGACACTGATCGAGGGACATTGGTGACAGAGGTTCAGCAGATGCTACTGGGGTTTGCTGCCTACAATCACAACAAGAAGAAAGGTTAAAAGTTAGTGGATGTGAAATTAGTATAGGACACTGGGTCAGGAACTTCGGTCCAAGGCACTCAGCATTTTCTGAAAGTGCAGATGAAGAGGGAGGGGAGGATGGAGGAGCTCAGCATCCCTGCCAAGTACCCTTTGAACTCTTAGGCCACCCTCACATCATTTAGCACATACTGAGTGCTTACTGTGTATTTGACACTCAAGGAACTAAACTAGATGGGGAAACCTCTCACCCCTGGGAACAACAGTTTATCAGAGTCCCCAGGGGTGGCCCTGGGGATGAGACAGACCCCAAATCCAGCTACTCTCCCATCTCTCTTTCACCCCCTCCCCCAAACCCAGGATCTGGGGAGCAGAGAAGGAACCCAACAAAATTCTCGTAATCAGAAAATCAGCCTCAGAGTTCCTCGAGTGACCTCAAAATCATTCCCTTTTTGGCCACCAATGTTCCAGACTGCTCCGCTCAATCCCACTTAGCAAACCAGGGCAAGGCGGCGAGTGGCTTGCTGCCTCCCCCCGCCACCATCAAGAGGGAGAAGGCAGACCCCTGAGGGCTACAGGGGCTAACCAGTTCACCTGGCCCCAGGCAGACTTCTGGGGCCATCGCTGTCCCTGCCCTCCCTGCTGCCTGGCCAGTCCTGGTGGCCCATGCAGCCTGAAATGTGATTGAGAAGCAAGACACAGAAACGTGGACACTGCCGAACAGTGCCAGATGTACAGGCATAAAATTAAATGTCCGCTCACCAAGCCCCCTTCTGAGGGGGGAGACAATTTCAAATAAGGAAATGCTGCAGATAAATCCCCAAATAACGAATTAGTCATTACCTTATGCTCTCTGGGGCCTGAGCCTTGCCCACAACCCAAACCAGATGGTAAACATGAACATTTTTAGAAGTTAATTTAAAACCAATTTGATCCCCAAATTCATTGCCTGTATATAGAATCCTAATCAATCAGCCAACACTCAACCAAAATCATCTGAGCCTGGTGTCACCTCTGGGGGTTAATTAGAAACTGTTATGTGCTGTTTGAGAAATAACTTTATGTAACAGGCACAGGCCAGTAAGAGTTTGGCTTCCACACAAGTGTGGATTCTGCTGGCTGGGGGCCTTGTATATTAACACGTGAGACTCCAGAGCACTGCAGAAGGATGTCTGGGAAATGGTCTATGGGGGACAGGACCCTTCAACATCTCCCACAGAAGAAATGCCTTATCGTTCAGCTCTCTCACCTTGAAAGCTTGCTGACTCTCAATTTGTCTCTGCCAATTAGCACCCCCACCTACCCCCGTGGGGGGGCAGCTCTGGGATTATTTTGATGTAAAGCATTATGTCCTGTCAATGTACATTAGTGTGACAAAAGTTGGAATTCAGGTTAAAATGCCTCAATTAGAGTAGAGACTTAGCAGTCAGCATCCCAATAACCAACACTCAGGCTAACTCTTGTATTTGCTTTTTTCTGTTGCAAACATTTTTGCAGTCATGTCCTAGCTTTTCAAAGTGTCTTCAAACTCTGAGTCAAAATCCCCCAAGCTGGGCTGGAGTTGTGGCTCAGTGGTAGAGCACTTGCCTAGCATGTGTGAAGCCCTGGATTCAATTCTCAGCACCACATATAAATAAATGAATAAAATAAAGGTCCATCAACATCTGAGATATATATATATAATCCCCCAAGCCAAGGCAGGCACAGTGGTGCACACCTGTAATCCCAGCAGCTGGGGGGGGGGGGCGGGGGGAGGGGGGGAGGGGGCGGGGGGGGCGCTGAAACACGAGGATCACAAGTTCAAAGTCAGCCTCAGCAATGACAAGGTGCTAAGCAACTCAGTGAGACCCTGTCTCTAAATAAAATACAAAATGGGGCTGGGGATATGGCTCAGTGGTTGAGTGCCCTGAGTTCAATCCCCAAGTGCCCCCCCAAAAAATCCCCCAAGCCAAAAATGGTATAGTCTCCTATATTATGGAAACCAGGGAAAGTTTGGTTCAATAAGGATTAAGTAATAGCTTTTAAAGTATGGCAATCCAAAACAAGAAGAGCCCTGGCCCTCAGTCATCTGGTATTTTCTTTCTAAACCAGAACTTCCTATGCCACTTGGTTGGCATGAAACTCACCCAACTGTAATGTGTAGGAATCTTTCAGGGTTTTTGCATGAAAATATATACTAAAGCTAACTTCATAGCCAGGTCCTCAAAATGCCCCCTTTCCCTTGGACCCAGACCCCAAGTTCCCTTAGGAACTAGCAAAAAAGTGTTTGCTAGTTCCCTGGTCAGCTTTGACAAGTGGCTGATCCAAAGCCATTGACCTTTCAGAATGATGCTCTTGGCTAAATTTGGGCAGCTCCCTTTAAGAAAAAAGAAGATATGTGTATCTGGTTCCTTTTTGGCCTCTACTGAGCTTTTTCGCTCCAAAATTCAGACTGACTACTCCCACACAATTTGATTTAGCGTCTGTTTCCTGTTGACGTGTTTTACTGTAAACCAACCTCTGGAGAATCTGTAAGGCTGGACAACTGTAAATAAGACCTTAGAGAGGAAATCAGTTCATGGCCTGGGGCAACAGAGGGCTGAAAACTTGGTGTGACTGGTTTTCCCACTGAAAATTGCACGGGAATGAACATCTCTGAGCAGCTCTTGATGACTTCCCAGTTACCCCCCTGGCACCACCTCCAGTATGAGGGTTCCTAAGCACAGCTGTGGCTTCTGATCTTGGTTGCCACATTCGCTGTCCAAGGGGTGATGGAAGGGTGCTCACCTTCCAAGGTGAGATCTCTAAAGACAAAAGTACTCTTTCCTCATGAGGAGATACAAACTACACTGAGGTAGACCCAGACAAGCAAGTTGTGCAGACAAGCAAGTTGTGCAGACAAGCAAGTTGTGCGGGGCTGTGTTTCAGCTCAGCTCTACCCCTTCCTGCCAGGGCAGCTGGAGCAGACCCCTCCCCGCCCACCCTCTAGGTCTCAGTTGCCTCTGGTTTCCTGTGCAGTGGTTGCAGGAGCCATTTAGCATAGCTCTAGCCTCAAAGAGCCAGGAGTGAGAAACAAGATGGGCATCAGTGGTCCCATTTCAGGGGCTGGGTGTGAAGGAGACAGCTTCTTCTAAACCCCAAGACACAAGGCCCACGGGGACTTCCATGCATTTCTCGCTCATTCATGCACCAAGCATGTTTGCTGTGAGCCAAGCACTGTGCTAGGCCCTGGGCACAAGGAGAGAGACCCAGCTTTTTGGTGCTTACTCATGGAGGAAGAGGGTCAGAGGAGGCAGGAGAAAGTAGCAGGGAGAGGAGAACAAAAGGGGACAGGGGGACAGCCTCGGAGGGGCTCGCTGGGTCTGGAGAAACCCCTCAGGGACCTCTTCTGAGTTGAAACCTGCAGAAGAGCTGCAGACTTTTCCCCTGGGAGCTCCAGGTAGGAAAGTCAGCAGGCTAAGATCCTGGGCAGGGGACGGCTCACTGGTGCCACAGGTCAGCAGTGAGACCCTCTGGCAGGAGGTAAGCAGGTTGGGAGGGAGCTGAGCACCGAGGGGCCAGGCCTCACCCACCTTGTCATTAAGTCCTCAAATGAGGTCTCTGTTCCTCCCCTGCCAGCACCACGCGCGGCCCTGCCCTGCCTGCCAGCTCATTGCGCGCGCTGACGAGCGCCACCCGCCCGTGCTGCCCGCCCCGGTGGCCCTGCCACTGCGCCTGGGCGGCCGCTGGGCCAGCGCGGGCTGCGAGGCGCGCCCGGCTGTGCTCTTCCTCACGCGGCTCTTCACCTTCCACGGCGCTGGCCGCTCCTGGGAAGGGTACTACCGCCACTTCTCGGACCCCGCCTGCCGCCGGCCCACCTTCACCGTCTTCGCCGCCGGCCGCTACTCCAGGGGCACGCCGTCTGCCAGGGTCCACGGCGCCACCGAGCTGGTGTTCGAGGTCACGCGAGCCCATGTGACTCCCATGGACCAGGTCACCGCGGCCATGCTCAACCTCTCCGAGCCGAGCAGCTGCGGGGGCCCCGGGGCCTGGTCTGTGGGTGCCGAGCGGGACGTCACAGTCACCAACGGCTGCCTGCCGCTGGGCATCAGGCTCCCCCACGTGGAGTACGAGCTTTTCAAGATGGAGCAAGACCCCCGCGGGCAGAGCCTGCTCTTCATCGGACAGAGGCCCACCGACGGGTCAAGTCCAGACACCCCCGAGAAGCGCCCCACTTCCTACCAGGCACCCCTGGTGCTCTGCACGGGGCAGGCTGGAGCCGCCCCCAGGTCCCTGCAGCCCCGTGGAGGGGGGCCGTGTCCTCCTGACATCCCTCTCGCCCTGCTGCTCCTACTCCCGGAGCTGGCCTTCCTCCAGTGGCCATGACATCCTCTTAACTACCAGACCTTCTCTAGACTCGGCCACCTCCGGAAGGACCAGTACTTCTCTGTTGTGGTGGCCACGTGGCCCCAGGGCTTCAGAGGGCAGCCTGTGTCCCAGAGGCCCAAAACATGAGCTCAAGGGCACCTGCAAAGTTGGGGCCAATGATCACACTTTGGGATATGGCTGTCAAGTTTGTGGCTACATGGCTTTTCAGACAAACCCATGCTCCTGTTTGGATGGTCTCCCAGCAGGCTGGAGCCAGAGGACCACCCTGAGGCTCACTGTCCAAGAGCTCCCTGCCCCTCCCTTCCTGGCCCTTGAGATTTTGAGATGGGAGCGAGAGCCTGAGATGGTGCCTAGGGACAGTGCCGCTCACTGCTCTGCTAAGCCTTCAGGCTGTTGTTGAAAGTTTATTAATTCAAATTTAGCAATACAAACTCAAAGCGGGGCCATGAATTAAAGATGCCACTTCGGGCTTCCAGAGCTTCTCAGCTTCCTGGCAAAGGGCCTGTCTCTTAGGGGGCCACTTGTCTTTCTTGAGTTCTGACTGCTGGCATTTGTCTGCATCTGCCTGTGCTTCTGCGAGTCAGACCTCAAGCTGTCAACACTTCGTGTGGATAAATCCAGTTCTCCAGAGCCACGTGCAAGCAAAGAGGGCTCCATTTGAGCTGAGAAATGTGGCCTCCCCTGGTATGCTTTAGCCTCCGAGCCTCCCTCGCCCATGCAGAACACCAGTGAACACTGGGCTGGATGCCGGGGGCACGTCTGTGGAGGAGAGCAGCGTTCCAGTCTTTGGAGAGTAATTAATACTAATGCTAGCAGCAGCGCTAACATGCTCTGTAATTAGCCCTGCACCGCTGTCCTTGGCCTTCCAGATTCCCTGTGCCAGACTGACGGGGGGGGGGAACCTCCGAGTACACAGCTCTGGGACCACCCCAGGGGGAGCTCAGCATCACCAGGCTACATGGCAACACATGGAGGCCAGGACCCAGGAAAGTCGGCCCCTCCCAGCCCCCTCGCTGTGGTGCTAATATACTGGTGTCCTTCTCAGCTCAGAGAGGGCTATCATCACGGTGGGGACAGGCTGTGCCTCTTCAGGAACCCTGCCTATGTTCCCAGGGCCTCATCTGTACACTGTGAAATTAACTGGTATCCTGATGGGCTCAAGGGTTTGGGGGACTGTGTGCGGCTGATTCACCCTCTCCTTCCTCTTCCCTGTTCCTGTCTCTGGCTCTTATTGCAGATTTTGAACAACAGTCACTCTGAGGCTAACGATGCTTTTAGAGGGAAGCCCTTGTCCTCCCTGAGATTGTGTGGGTCTCAATCAGCCTGCTCAAATTGCTCTAACTTATTATCCATTCTTCTTTTCAAAAAAAGAAAAGAAAAAAGAAAAACCACCAAGTTAATATTCCGTGTGGGTCTCAGAGAGCTACGGTGTTCTTGGCATATTTACCAAAGTACAAGAAATAATTAGATTATTTACAGTCTTCCACTACATCTTGGTGGGGGGAGTTCCCGGTGGGGATGACAGTGGGTGTCGATAATATGTCCATGGCTGAGCAAGTCTTGTATCTGAGGCTTGAAGCAACCATGCCACTATTTATCATCAAATTTGAATGTTTTAATAAAATTAAACAGCCTGAAAAATGTTCTTGCTGGTTATTAAAGTCAACCAAGGGGATTATGGTTCTAAAGAAAGGAAGTGGAGTGCCTTCCAGAAAACATGTGAAGAAGCAGCCAGTGAAGGTGAACTCCTGCTAGGCCAGCTGTGCCCTCCTGCTATCCCTGCCCTGCCTGGAGCTCCCCAGGAAGGGAAGGAAGCTCCAGCTCCAACTCAGGGGGCGCTGCAGGGCTCAGCATGGCTCCCACACCCCGGCCATGCTGGCCCGCTTCCTTATCCATGTGCACCGCCAACACTTCTCCCAGCCCTCAGGTGTTTGGCTCTTTCCTTTCATTCAAATCTCTTGGATGAAATGTCACTCCCCCACCCACCACTGGCATCCCAAAAGAGCAGCCCCCTTGTCCCTTGTCCTTCTACCTATTGTCCCACCATTCTGTTTTATATTCTCTATAATGCACTCTGACCACTGTCTGAAATGTCTTATTTATTCATGCTTATTCTCTGCCTCCTCCGCCTAGAATGTGAGCTCACAGGGGAAGGCAGAGTCCAAGTATGGCCATCTTTCCAGTGGGTCAGGAGCCTGCTGGAAGGAGCCTCAGTAAACATGGCTAACAAGGTTGGTGATCCAGGGGCTGGGATGGTAGCTCAGTGGTAGAGCGCTTGCCTTGCACGCGGGGAGGCCCTGGGTTCAATCCTCAGCACCACATAAAAACAAAGAAACAAAAATAATATTAAAAAAAAAAAAAGGTTGGTGATCCTGGCTCAGCCTCACACTGAGACCTGTGAACAGGCCACCACCACAGGGCAGGTGCTACATCACTCTGGAGGCCCACCTGAGTCAGGCAAAGGGATTGATCCTCAGCATCTTGCACAGGACATGAAGGCTCAGAGAGGAAAGGCATTGGCCAAAGATCACACTGTAAAGAAAGACCAGGGATCTAAACCTGAGCAGCTAGACCCCAGAGCCAGAGATCTGGGCCTCCATTTCTCAGTTCCCAGGTTCCCAGAGGGGATTCCCTGCTGTATTTGGGGAAAGCAATTGGGTGGTATTTCATGGAACCTGGCAGGAGCCATAGCCCCAAGAGGTGGGTTGATCGAGAGACGCTTCCTGGCTGTCCTCAACTGGACCACACTCTCTGGCCCCCGTTGGCTCCTGGGAAGTGCAGAGGTGGAAAAAGGGCTCCCTCTTCTCCCAGACAGGGCCAAGGGATGAGGGCTCATTTCAGAGGCAAGGGGTGGACACCCAGCCTCCAGACCCTTTGCCCCCATCCCTGAGTCTCAGTCTCCATGTAAACCTGGAGGGAGCTCTGCATCCACAGAAAGGAAGAAGGCCCAGAGTCCTAATTCAAAACAAAATTAATGTTCTCCATTGTATGTGCAGTCACGTTTGGGGTGGGGGGAGCCCATGCAGTTGATAATTTCATAGCCCAACTCCCAGGAGAGTAAATGAGCTTTTTTTTTTTTTTTTAATAAAAAGTTTAAATTGCATACAGCTCTCAGAGGCCCATTAACTAACAGATGCTGGTTATCAGAAGAAGTTATTTCCCTGCCTTTCTCTAAGCGAATGTGTTTAATCTCCCAGCGGTGCTACTGGGTGAGAAGCCGAGTGTGGCTGGGGACTGCAGCCCCCGCGTGGGCCCTGCTCTGTGCGTCCTCTCCTGGGAGCCTGGTGACTCAGGCAGGCTGGAGCCTTCTGACGCAGAATGTGGAATTGCATTAAGGCCATGGCAGGGGCCGCTTCACAGCCATTAGTGTCACAGACGGGGGCCGGGAGGGAGGGTCGTTCCCTCCTACAGGGGGTGAGCTCGGGCAGCAGGCTGGGAGCTCCAGTGTGCTCTGGATGTCCTTAAGTGACAGGAGGCCAGTTCCTCTGCATACATGAAACCCACCCCCCACTAAATGGATTGTGAAGATGAGTAAATTACCTGTCGACATTCCTGAGAGCTAATGTTCCAGGCTTCCAGCAACCCCTCCTCCTTCCTCGCCTGCTTGTTATTCTGTAGCCAAACCTGCCCCTGCCCAGGGCTCTGCACCCACCTCCCCTGCCTCCAGCCAGTCCACACCTCAAATTCTCTCCATCTTCATCAAGCATTTATTGGTATCTGAATCTAAAATGTCCCATCCATTCCTTTTCTCTCCTTTAGACTGAGCTCCTTGACAGAGGGCCTCCTCTGTCCTGTTCCCCACAGGGTCCTGCAGTCCCAGAAAATGGTGCCTGGCACATAGTAGGAACTTAGCAAATAGGAACTAAATGAATAAATGCTTGGAACTCAACCATCAGGGTGGGAATCACACATTCTAGATGCTGGCTTGGAATTCTGATGTTGCTTCCCCACCCCCCACCCCCGCCCCCAGTCAGAATGTCAGAGCAGAACCCAGGCATGTGACCTTGAGGGTGTCTGTTTTCTACTGGTCAGGCGGTACTGAGAACTGCTGTCCCTGAGTAGGGCTACATAGGTCCCGGCCTCAGGTCCCTAGGGAGTCTATCTCAAGCCCCACATCCTACTAAGGGATACTGGGAGATCGTCCACCTTGTGGGAACTCAGGACAAAAATCTCTATCCTTAGCTTTGAAGTGCCCCTTGTCATCAGTTTCTCATGAGCTGAAACCTGATGGTTTCCAGGGCTGTGATCTTTATTTCCTCAGGGTTACTGACAACCTGCTTCTATCCAGCATTTGATTTTTTTTTTTTTAAAATCCCTCTGAAGAAGAAAAAAGTAAGAAGACATAGATGGTCACTCCTTCTTTTAAAGTCAGTTGTGGGGGCTGGGGATGTGGCTCAAGTGGTAGTGCGCTCACCTAGCATGCATGAGGCACTGAGTTCGATTTTCAGCACCACATAAAAAAAAATAAAATAAAGATATGTGTCCACCTAAAAACCTAAAAAATAAATAAATAAAGTCAGTTGTATCCATTTAGTGAAACCCCCACACACTGAGCACAGCCCGGCGCCAGGTGCAATGCTGGTGCAGCAGAAGGCAGGCTCTCCAGCCCCCAGCCAATGTGGGCAAGGACACACACTGCCACCTCCACTTCCTATGGAAGTCACGACAAATTAGGGGGAAAGAATTAAAAGGCACAAAATCAATGGATAATCAAAATAGGAGGTGTGAATGCAGTCAGCAAGATGTCAGCAAGATTCTGGAAGCTGGAGAACTGGTGGAAACATCATTGAGAGCAGAGAGTGGAGAACCAAGCATTAGTAGGCCAGGCAGAGTGGGGCAGAAGTACATCCACTAACACCACAGGTCCCCCCAAAGGCTTCATCAGTGGCACAGACACCACAGAAGGCAGGGAAGCAGTGGGGTTTATTTCATAAGTCAGTAAAAGGAGTCATACCCCCAGCTCATCTCCTCACCCCTGCAAAGACTCAAAAGTCTAATCCAGGGATCTGGACTTAAGCAGCAGCCTAGATTAAGGTATCATGCTAAAAATACAGGTAATAAAACTCAATGGTGACATTGCAGTCACCTTCTCCACTTGACTCCTAGAGATGGTGGCCAAGTGCATGCTGCCAGGCAAGAGACTGCAACAGTTCAACTCTTTAAATACTGTCACTGAGTGGGGGATAGTTCTGTGGTAGAGTGCTTGCCTAGCACACATGAGGCCCATGGTCAAACCCCAGCACTACCAAACAAACAAAATTGTAAATAAAATTATAAAATAGAGGGAAAAAAAAGCAAAAGAAAATTGGAAATTAAATTTTTCCCAGAATCAAGAGAGAAAAACAATCAGGAATTCAAATTGTGTTAGAATTCCTAAGGGCAAACCCAGACGTTGGAAATCAGTTAAACAACATTAAAAAAAAATGTTTTAATTGTAGATGGACACAATACCTTTATTTATTTACCTTTTTTGTGGTGCTGAGGATTGAACCCAGTGCCTCACCCATGCTAGGTGAGTACTCTACCACTGAGTCACAACCCCAGCCCCAATGGACCAACATTTTGGAAATCTTCATGATGATTTGCAAACTTGTCTTTTATATCCAGCACAACTATCAATCAAGCAGGATGGCAGAATGGGACATTTTCAGATAAGAAAATTTCTCAGAAAAAAATGTCCTCCAGACTCCTTTCTTAGAGGATGTCTCCCTCAAAATGAGGTAGTAAAACACAAAAGTGAAAAACCAGAGACCTGAAATGAGAGGACCCAACCCAAAAAAGAGCAAAGGAAGTACTGGCAATTGTTGTGAGTGAAGTGTGCTGCAGGCCCAGATGGCAGTCAGTTCAGAGAAGAAGAGAATGGAGAGCTGCAGGAATGCATTCTTGAAGAAATCCCCAGAAATTGCCGATGGTGGGCTGGGGTATACAGCATTTGCCGAGCGTGAGCAAGGCTCTTGGTTCAATCCCTGGGACTAACTAAACAACAAAAAATTATTGATTGCCTGATGTGAGTCAATGTGCAGAGATTTATACCTCTGTCAGGATTTGGTGCTGAATTCATGATAGATACATCGGAAAGTAAATGAATAAAACACTAAGACTTAGTAAATCCAGGGGAAACAAAGAGTTATTTATAAAAGGTAAATACAGTCATAGAACATCCAAAACACAGCTGTGGAAATATATTTTAGTAAACTTAATCATTTGAAGTATACAGACACAGCCAAATTTATGTCACTACTCTAAAAGAGGAAAGAAGGAGATCTGTGCTTCGGATAGGGCTGGAAGGAAGATTCAGAGTCAATTCCTTATCTTCCTTAGGAGGAAATCAATTGATGACACCAAGAAGTGAAAAATCAAGAATATAATCACATTATTTGGAAATATAAAGGTTAATACTAAAGGAAATAACATGGCTGACCCTGGGAGGTGGAAGACTAGGGTGATAGGGACTGCTGGTTTCCATTATGAGCCTGTAACAACTATTTGGCTTTTTATAGTATGCACACAAAATAGTTAAAAAAAAAAAAAAAAAAAAACACTGCAAAACCAAATCCAACAACAAAACCTAGAACTTCCCTTCAAATTGCTTTCAATCCAGTAAAGGACAGACTCTGGTAAGATGGGGTTCAAATGCTCAG